GCCCCGGCGGCGGCCTGCGGCCCAACGGGCAGACCAAGCCGCTGCCCGCGCTGAAGCTGGCGCTGGAGTACATCGTGCCGTGCATGAACAAGCACGGCATCTGCGTGGTGGACGACTTCCTGGGCAGGGAGACCGGGCAGCAGATCGGCGACGAGGTGCGCGCACTGCACGACACCGGCAAGTTCACGGACGGGCAGCTGGTCAGTCAGAAGAGCGACTCGTCCAAGGACATCCGGGGTGACAAGATCACCTGGATCGAGGGCAAGGAGCCCGGCTGCGAGACCATTGGGCTGCTCATGAGCAGCATGGACGACCTGATCCGCCACTGCAATGGCAAGCTGGGCAACTACAAGATCAATGGCCGGACGAAAGTAAGTGGCTGGGCGGGCGCCGAGGAGGGGCGGCCTGTCTTGCCGGCGAGCGCCGGGGCGCGGGCGCAGGGCCTGGATTCGGACTGCGCGGGTCGAGTGGGCAAGGCCCCCTGCCCCGCGGTGCGCGGTTGTCACCCCGCAGTGCTTCCCGCAGCCCTTCCCGCAGGCCCTGCCCTGCGCCGCTCGCCACGCACCGCTTTAGGAGAGGCGGGCCGCGGACCTCAGAGAGGCACGTCTCTGGTCGCGGGACTCTAGTGTGCAGGAAGAGCTGTGCCGCCGCCCTCCCCCTGCCGTCCGGCTCCGTCCCTGCTGTTTTCAAACCCACTGCAAGCGGGGAAAGAGGTATTTCCGTTTTTGGTCGCTCAGTACAGGCAGGTTCCATCCTAGCTAGGTTTCCTCTGTGTGCTTTGTTGATATGATCCCTCTGTTGAAAAGGAGCAGTTTTGTAGCTTCCTGGAACATCAACAGCGGCAGCACTGCGTTGGAGCAGGAGGCCCCGGTTCCGTTCCTGGGTTCCTTTTGTTTGCTCTTGGCTGTGCAGTGCTCCTCAGCAGGTCCTTAGTCGGGCCTCTTCCCTCCCGAGGTCAGCAGCAGACCTGCCCCTCCTCTGTAACTCCTTTCACTTTACTTCCACACTGAATCTTCTTTGTGCCCAGCTCTGCTGGGCCACCCTGCTCCCGAAGCGCTGTCAGTTGGTGTCTGATTTTGTTTTGGGACTGTGCTGGGAAATCGGCACAGGTGCGTTTGTACACACATGGCTCTTCTCTGTGTGTGTAACTGTCCTTTTGACACTCATCATGTGTGACTCTGAGGCTGCCCGAAGGCTGGGGTAGGCATCAGGTGGGTCCCCAACATGAGCTTTGTGGGGAATCCAGATGTGATGCTCCTTCACGACTGTGGATTCATGGTGGGGAAGGCATGTGTCCTCCTGTTACTAGATTCAGAGGAAAGAAGGGCAGTTTCTTAAAATGAAGCTGGTAAGGAAAGGGGCCTGGCCTGGGTGACCTCAGCTTTGTTCTTTCACAAGATTTTCATTTATATTAACAACCGAAACATTGTTGGGGTCAAATCTGAAGGTGGAGCAGGAGAGGAGCTGTCGTGGGACAGGGCTGACCAAGGTCCCCCGTGGGGCTGAGCTGACCTTCAAGTCAGAGGAAGGGGATGTCCTAAATCTTCCTTGATCTGCTTTCCAAGGTCATCTGCTTTCCCAGCTAAGCTGAGACCTCTTCTCCCCTGTCCTTCTCAGGGAAGGGGCAGCAGACAGCCTGGCTTTAGAGCAGCTGCTTCTGATGGACAGCTGTTAGGCCATAGTTATCTCTTTCACCAAGGGTCCCAGGGGGCTGAGGGAAACTGATTTAAGTCTCTTGACTGAACCTGCAATGTTTCAGTGAGGGACTGGCTGGAGGAAGGGGGATTGTGCCGGCTCTGCATCTGATCTTATGCTTCCATTTAGTTTCAGGATCTATGAATGATCTTAGGAATTCCTTTCATTATACTTCCTGGCTGAAAGAGTTTAGGTAGTCATGTTTGAACATGTGATTTGAGTATTCCTAAAACAACAGCAGCAGCAACAAAATAAAAAACCCCATGAGAGTGCTTGCTTTGGGGGAGTGAGAAGGCAGTCAAAAATAGCACCACCAGACCATGAGTGACCGCAGTGTGCACCAGATTAGCCCCACACAACAGGCCACAGCAGTCTTAATCCTGCCAAGTGGGTGGCATTCCTGATTTACATTTGAGGAAGTTTCAGCTCAGACGCTGCCAAGGCCTTGCACTTAGGAAAAGCTGGCTGGTGTTCAGCTCAGTTGAGTTGGACATCAAGGCCCCGCCTTCCCTGCCCCTCTGGAGGCAGGTGGGACATGGGGGTGGAGTGAAGGTATCTATCTCTTGGCACCTCCTTGGAGGCAGAGTTTGATGAGCATTTTCACTGACAGTGGGAAGGCAGCACCAGCCTTGTGTGGATGATCAGATTTCATGGTTGGGTTCTGTAAACTTACACCAGGTGACAATGTTTCTTTGACACAGTGGCTTAAAGCCAGCGTGTATTGACTGCCTGAGTGGTGCTTGTAAACACCACTCTCGAGGCGCCAGAACACCTCATGGTGAGTGGTTGCGGAGGGGTCTTCCATAAAGAATTTTATACCCTTCTCAAGTGTGGTCTTGGCAGGTCCTTCTCCCACTTCTGCTTTCTCCCTGCTCCAGGTGGAGAGGCTTGAAACCTGCAGCAGTCCAGTCCTGCACTCAGGCCTCCCCGCTGAGCATCTTGAGTAGTTTCCCTTACACCAGCTGTGCTCTGCGCTCACACCTGGGGCAGGGCCTGGTCATCAGGTGGCCTCCAGCCTCCCAAGTGCTTATCTGGCCACTGTTTATTCAGCTACTCCAACCGAGGGACCACAGGGAAGGATGAAGTAACACAGGGGAGAAGAGAAGCCACTGGTGTCCCAGCGCTGCTTCCCACTTTCTCTGGTCTTGTCTTTTAGGTTCCCCTCTTCCCCTTAAACTGCCCTTTGATCCTGTTTTTCCATCCACCAGGAAGGACCCTCAGCCTGCTGAGAGATGTTACTGTCAGAAGTCGCAGAGACCTTGAGGGTGGAGGAAGAGGAATACGGGCAGTGAGGCTGGAGGAGCCTCAGCCTTCCTGTGGCGTCCCTGAAGGAAAAGGCTTGCCCATGAAAATAAAATTACTAGATGGTATTCCTAACAATTGCAGTTTCATCCAAACCTTCATATATCTAGGGAAAGCATAAGTAAGGAGAGGGGGTAGTAAGGTTTGCTGACCGAAATACCAGGTTGTGTTACTAAGATTTTTTTTGTTGGTATTGTAATTAATTGGTCAGTGCTGGCAGATTATGGCTTTCAGAGCAGAGAATAGGGTGAGAGAAGTCATATTGCTTTATTTCCTCTACAATACAGATGTGGTGCAATCCTCTCCTGTTAAAAACCGAACCTGTCCTGTGAGGACGCAGGGAGGAGATGCCTTGCAAGCTAGGGAGAAAGCCTCCCCAGAATCCTGCGCTGCTGGCACCTAGACTCAGGCCTGCATCCCACCTGCAGGGGCATGACCTGATGATGCTCGGGCCTGAATGAATAGGTCAGCATAAGGCTGGGGCCCAACAGGACTACCTTCCCTCTCTGCGTCTGCTCTCTTCTTTCCTCATGGAACCCTGGCCCTACATACCAAGGCAGCTTGTTGATGGTTACTGGCTGCATCTGAATTCAGGATCAAAGTCAGTTCTACGGGGTGCAGACAGGTGGGAAATCCTGCACGTGCAGTTTTTGTGCAGCTGCTGGGGAGATGGACTCAGAGGCTTAGAGGCTAGCTAGGTAGAAAGGGAGCAGATTCATCTTGTAGGAAGCACTTATCTATGAGCTGGTTTACGTGTAAAAGCACACCTTCAATTCTAAAGGATTTTTTTCTGACTCCAGTCTTTTAAGAAGTTCCTGCTCTCCCTGTCTCTCCCCCTCTCATGAGCTTCAGGGAAAAATGCTCAGAACCATTTTTGACCAGACTGCTTCCGACACACACACGCACACTTGTTTTTTAAAACAGAAAACAGGTCCAGAGAAGTTAGGTGAGTTGTTCAAGGATGCAGAGCTGGCCAGGAACACTGGCAGGCCTTGGATCAGCTCCCTCTCCTATCCATCTGTGCCTCTGTGGAACCACGTGTTGTAGCCCAATGGGGCTGGCCTCTGTTCTTTGGGAGGAGCTGGACACTGGGCTTCCTGCCCTCCCCTGCTTCATGCTGGAGCTCCTGCAGTTCTGCTTTTCTGTGCTCCAGGGTGACTCTCCCTCGTGGATGGTCCCTGCCTGGCTCCTGGAGGCTCTCCTGCAGCATCTTTGCTGTGCATTGTTTGAAGCTGTGCTCCCTGGTGCTGGCCTCCCCTTTCCATCTTTGGAGGAGCTGCTTCGAGCTGTTTCTGAATGGCATGTCCACTCTCGGTACCCAGCCCTGCCCCACCCTGTCGGCCTTGCCATCTGTCTTAGTCCTTGATGTTTCCTGGTGTCTCTGCTCTGCCTTTGGAGGATGTAAGCAGCTTGCTTGGCTTTATTTAGTTTCTGCATGAGCGACTCCAGCTCTCTGTCCCCTTTCGTTCTGACAAGTTCTGGGTAGTTTTCATAGAAGTTTTTTGCTGTGCGTCCTACCGTCCTTCCTAGGAGCATTGAGTCCACACTGGGAGCATGTCTGGGCCGCACAGTGGCTTCCGTGTCTCACTGGGCCGTTGTCACAGTTGCCTTTGACTCTAGTTCCAGCAAGAACGCTTCTGTTCTACAAGCAGAGCCCTGGCAGAGGCTCACCCAGTACTGCCCTCGGAGCTGGTCCATGGCACTCCTCCTAGCACACACTCAGCTCCTTGCCACCCTTGCTGCAGTGCCTCCTAAGTCATGTCCCATGACCAACTCCCTGAAGGCTCGGACAGATCTTCTACCTCCTCGCTGAAGTCACTGTGAACTTTTCCTGAGTTTGGAATTCTTGTGTTCCTTATTCCATGTTTTAGATCCTCTTTCTTTCCTTTTTTTTTTTTTTTGGGGGGGGGGTACTGGGGATTCAACCCAAGGCTCTTAACCACTGAGCCATATCCGTAGCCCTTTTTATTTTGAGACAAGGTCTCACTAAGTTGCTTTTAGAGCCTTGCTAACTTGCTAGGGCTGGCCTCAATCTCACAATCCTCCTGCCTCAGCCTCCCAAGTCACCAGGATCACAGGGGGCACGTATCCCAGATCCCATGTCGTCACAGAATATGTGTGCTCTTGGCTCCTTGTTCTGTTCCCTGAGTCCTGTTTTGACAGTCTTTTCATTCAACAAGTGTTAAGTTAGTTCTGCCCATGTACAGACACTGTCTGGGCAGCCAGGGGTGGCTGAAGAGCCTAAACAGTGCCTGTTCTCACAGAGCTGACCTTCCCTGGGGAGGATAGGGTAGGCGTCAGTAGGCACAGGTGTGAGGAATGGGATGTGCAGGTGGGATGTGTTCAGAGATGAGCAAGGTGAGGACAGAGCTGG